GGCACCGGCTGCCGCTCCCGGTGCCAGCGGCGCAGCAGGAACAGCCCCAGCAGCGCGGCCACCACGTACAGCCACATCCTCGGCACCGGCACCGGGATGGGGAGTAGGAAGAGAACGGGAGCGGGTTTGTCCCGACCTTGGCTCTGTGCTCTGGCCGCTGTTAATAATTAATTAGCGGATCCCGGGGCAACGATTACGGTGATTCCGGTGGGCCTCCGGGCACTACCGGGATGCGGGATCGGCTCCGCCCCGTCCTCTTAAGGGGCTCATCCCGCTGCTGCCGCCTGGAGCCCGCGGGGCTGCGGGCAGTGCCCGGGATGTGCCCCGGGGCTTCGGTCCCGCCGCTTTGGCGGGGAACAGTTAACGGGAGCAGGGCAGCGCCCCGGGCTTCCCGCACCGCTGCGCTGCCCTCCCGGGAAGCCCCCGGACCCCGCGACCGCCCCGGAGCCCGGAACATCCCCGCGCCGCCCCGGCCCGGGAGCTCTCCGCGTCACGGGAATACCCCGGGACCCTCCCAGATCCTGGGACCAACACGAAAGCCGAGACTCCCTCTGGACCTCAGCACCCCAGGGTCTACCGGGTTCTGCCGGGACAATCCCGCACAGCCCCTCCTGAGACCCCCTTGGACCCCGGGACACCCCCGGACCCCCACGCCCCTGGACCTCTCCGGATCCCGGGATATCCCCGGACACCGGGACATCCCGGGACCTCGGCGCTCTCGGGGCATTTCAGGACCCCGAAATCCCCCCTAACCTCAGCTCCCCGTCTCCCACCCGCCTCGGGACCCCCTCGCATCCCGGGACATACCGGGACCTCACCAGCTCCGGACCCCACGACCCAAGACCCCGCGGACCCGGGCACGTCCCCTCCCCTCCATCCCGGGACCTCCCCGGTGCTTTGTTCTCCTCCCACTCCCCCCGAGCCGCGCACCCCCGGTCCCCGGTGCCCCCGCCCCGGGGCCGGACTACAACTCCCGGCGGCCCCCGGGGGCGCCGCCGCCGCCTCCCGCCGCTCCGCTCCCGCCGCTCCGCTCCCGCCATGGCGCGGTTCGAGCCGGCGGCGCTGCCCGAGCTGCTCCCGGTCTTCTACCGGCGGCTCTTCCCGCACGGCCCCTACGGCCGCTGGCTCAGCTACGGCGGCGGTGAGCGGGGGGGGAACCGGTACTGGGCGGGGGGGCACCGCCGGGGATGCGGCGATACCGAGCGGGGACACCGATATGGGGCGGGAGGGCTCTACCGGGAACCGTGATAGCGGGCGGCAGGAGTCGGTACGGGGCGGGGGGCAGCGTCGGGGATGCGGTACCGGGAGGGGGCATTGATACCGGGCGGGGGGCACCGATACCGAGCGGGGGGCACCGATACCGGGCGAGAACACCGCGATCCCGGGTCCCAGAGCACGTTGGGGTGCCGGGGCGGGCAGTGGGTGGATGCACTGACCGGGACACCGGGAGGAGCGGGGAAGGGGTCTGGGGGTGAGTGTAATGGGGGGATTTAGGAGGGCATTGAGCCCCCCGCAGTCCCCGAGCCTCCCGCGCTCCCGCAGTGGTGAAGAACTACTTCCAGCTGCGGGAATTCTCCTTCACGCTGCGGGACGATGTGTACCTGCGCTTCCAGTCCTTCGGCAGCCCGCAGGAGCTGGAGCGGGAGCTGCAAAAGATCAACCCCTACAAGATCGACATCGGGGCCGTCTACTCCCACCGGGTGAGTCCTGGCCCCCGTGCCGGGGGTCCGCAGGGGCCTCTGGCCATGCTGAGCCCACCCCGTCCCTCCCGCAGCCCAACCAGCACAACACGGTGCACCTGGGAGCCTTCCAGCCGCAGGAGAAGGAGCTGGTCTTTGACATCGACATGACGGATTACGACGACGTCCGGACGTGCTGCAGGTTCCCCAGAGGGGGCTCTGGGCTGGGAGGGGGTTCGGGGGTGTGGGGTGTCCCCCTGACCCCCCTCACTCTGCCCCCAGCTCGGCCGATATCTGCTCCAAGTGCTGGACGCTGATGACCATCGCCGTCCGCATCATCGACCGCGCGCTCGTGGGTGAGGGGCTTGGGGACCCCCGTGGGCGCTGGCTGTGCACTCCCAGATCCCACAGAATTCACAGAATTCACAGAATTTCACTGGCTTGGAAGAGACCTTCAAGATCATTGAAGGTCAAGGTCGTCCAACCCAGCCCCAACACCTCAACCAAGCCCTGGCACCCAGTGCCACATCCAGGCTTGTGTTAAACACACCCAGGGATGGTGACTCCACCACCGCCCCAGGCAGAACATTGCAAAACCTTATTGCTCTTGCCATGAAAAACTTTCTCCTAATATCCAATCTAAATTTCACTTGGTGCAGCTTGAGGCTGTGTGCTCTGGTTCTGGCAGTTCTGTCTGGAGAAAGAGACCGACCCTCACTGTGGGAAATGGATTTGTCGAAAATTCTTTGGTAGAATCTACTTTATTCCAAACTCCCTATCAGCTTTAACCACACTATACTGTAAATACATTAAAACTAATCATTTAGAATTACCCCTCATAAGTCCTATAAAATACACCTGTGTCCCCATAAAATCCATCTGTGCTCCACCAAAATCCATCTGTGCTCTCCCAAAACCCATCTGTGCCCCACCAAAACCCATCTGTGCCCCTCCTAACCCATCTGTGACCCCCCAAAACCTCTGTGCCCCACCAAACCCATCTGTGCCCCCATAAAACCCATCTGTGCCCCCCAAAACCCATCTGTGTCCCACCAAAACCCATCTGTGACCCCACCAAAACCCATCTGTGACCCCCCAAAAACCTGTCTGTGCTCCCCCAAAACCCATCTGTGCCCCTCCCAACCCATCTGTGCCCCTCCTAACCCATCTGTGACCTCCCCAAACCCTTCTCTGCTCCCCCAAACCCATCTGTGTCCCCATAAAATCCATCTGTGCCCCCCCAAAACCCATCTGTGCCCCCGCAGAGGACCTGGGCGTGCGGCACCGCCTGTGGGTGTACTCTGGCAGGAGGGGTGTGCACTGCTGGGTGTGCGACGACGCCGTCAGGAAATGGTCCCCGGCGCTGCGGGCGGCGGCCGTGGAGTACCTGAGCCTGGTGAAGGTGGGTGCCAGGGGGGCCAGGAGCCCCCTGCCCAGCCCTGAGCCTGTGCAAGGTGGGTTTGGGGGTGTCTGGGTACCCCCTGAGCCTGGAGGAGGTGGGTTTGTGGGGGTTTGGGCACCCTTACCTTGGTGAAAATGAGTTTGTGGGGCTTTGGGCATCCCCTCACCAGAGTGAAGGTGGGTTTGTGGGGGTTTGAGTACCCCTCACCCTGTGCAAGGTAGGTTTGGGGGGGTCTGGGTACCCCCTGAGCCTGGAGGTGGTGGGTTTGTGGGCGTTTGGACATCCTTACCCTGGTGAAAATGAGTTTGTGGGGCTTTGGGCACCCAAACCTGCAGGGCACTTCTGACCCTGCAGCAGGAGCAGGTGGGTTTGGGGTGCCCAGCAGTGGGTTTGGGGTGCAGGTGGGATTGTCCAGCAGTGGGTTTGGGGTGCCCAGCGGTGGGTTTGGGGTGCAGGCGGGTTTGGGTGCCCAGCGGTGTGTGTGGGGTGCCCAGCAGTGAGTTTCGGGTGCCCAGCAGTGGGTTTGGGTGCCCAGCAGCAG